TACGAAAATCGTTTCGGAAGTTAGGTCAAAAATATATTTTTTCACCTCACTAGCTCGGAAAGGCTTTCTTTCTCCTTAGAAATCTGCGCGCAGAAGCGTTTTTTGCACGCTACCGTGGAAAAGGTTTATGAAATTCGAACTTGACGATGGACTGTGGTCCATCCTTTATGGGTGCACCTAACTTTTTCTTTCGATGAAAAAAAAGATAATGGCACGTTCAATTAAGCGATTTGACGTACGTTACTTATTTATGTAACATAAACCCGTTGGTATATTTTATTCTTATTATTGCTGACATTAAATTGACAATGATAAGTAATTGTGTAATAAATTATTTTAATTCGTCGAAGAACTAAAGTAATTTCAATAATCACTTAATCACACAAAATAAAAGTACAAGCAAGAATAAAAATTGATGAGGTGTAAATTCAGAATGCACCCGAAGATACCTTTGTCTTTTCATTAAAAAATGTTTTTTAATTCAAATGTTTTTCTTTCACCTACCCTTTCCCTCGCTATAGTGAGGTGAAAATTTGTGTGTTTCACTCGGCAGCAAAGTTGTTTTGCATCTCGTGGCTTGAATGAAACCCTCGCTACGCTCAGGAATCTATATTTGAACCACGAGCGAATTCCTTCGCTTGTTCAGGTTTCAATACAAGCACTCGCGGCAAACAACAACTTTGCAGCCTTGCGTAACAAATAACTATTTTCTATGCATTTCTAAGTTTGCGTCCAGAATCTTTTTTACTAGGCATTTCACCCCTTTGAGCGAAATTACAATCATCATGGTTAGTCAACATCAACCCACTGCTGGGCATAGACTTCTTCTTTATTGCGCCAACATTTTCGATCCTGCGCCATTCACATCCAGCGCGATCCCGCAAATCTGACGATATTGTCAGACCATATCTCTGGTGGTCTGCCCACTGGCCTTTTTGCTCCTCTTGGCCACCGTTCCAGATAAATTACAATATCTTATTTGAAATAAATGATTTTATCTGTAATCAGCATTACGGGTGCAAAAAATCATAGTCAATCATGGACATAGTCCTATGAGTCACTGGCTACTTTTACCAGAACATTTAACTTTTTAAATTGAAGTAATTCTTTTTTGGCACTGTTTCTTTCATTCTCAAACTGGAAAAGGCAAAGGCTCTTATGCGCCATACAGACTGAGAGTAATTTCTACCTTAAGTTTCCAAGTTACAAGTTTACAAGTTTACAAGTCTTCGATAGTACTTCTTACAAAAGTATATTGGTAAATACGAAAGTAAATATTTTGAAAATAAAATTAATATATCCCTCGAGTAGTAAAATGATCAAATGTGGAATTTTAAAGGCCATTGTTTGGCGTTATTTAATAATCGTATATGGTATTATGCAAATAACGCATCATTACAAGCAATAACAACTCAACGAAATAAAGTAAAGAACGTCGCTGTAGTAAGAACGTAACTAGGTCCACACCAATCTTATGCTAAATTATGTATTAAAAAATAATCAAAAACGTAACTATTCACCTTGTAGTTAATAGCATAAAGTTATTTTAAAAAGATAAAAAAACACTCACATGAACTGAAGAAACTAGTAGTTTATGTGATTGTTATATAAGTAACATCACACGAGTGTTTTAATGCCTAATTATGTACAGTTACATACACTGCATTATCTACACACATATTATAAGCTTTCTGTGATGTGTTCAGGAACCGCATGTTACGACTGGCGAAATGGCGGCAAATAAAAACTTTTCTCGCGCGACAAACTAGAGTCGGCCCCAACTATCATATCGTGCGATATCACGTAACGTGTAAAATTTGTCAATTTTGTTTGCTATTGACATTTAATTTTAAATAAAACTTCATCTCGACTGATGTCAGAATTGAGGCCAAATGAAATTGTTTTGTTTTTCGGAGATGTTCGAAATTTGAATGTCGTAATAAAATCGAATTCGATGTTATTAAAATAATAACATTTTCACAGATAAGAACTTTGTTCTAATAAAACTGTTGATCTTTATGCTGGTCGTCATTTGCGGTTTTTGAACACATCATAGAGTGTTTATGATATGTGTGTAGATAAAAATAATTATGTTACTGTAACGAGAATTGCTCATTTATAAATAAAAAAGCCGTAGTAGCCTAATGGTTTCACCTACCGTGTCTCAAGCAAAGGCCGTGGTGTCGAATCCGGGCTTGCACATCTGAGTTTTTTGGAATTTATGTGCGAAATTCAATTTGAAATTTACCACAAGCTTTTCGGTGAAGGAAACCATCATCATGAAACTTGCACATCGAAGAAGGTTTACAGCCCTCGGAAAACGTGTGAACTTTATAGTGTGGCCTATATTAAGCCCTCGCACTATAAGAGACCCGTCTCCAGCTGTGGGACATATAAATGGGTTGATGATGGTGACTATGAAATAACAAAAATGACGTAATTCAAAGTCCAGTTGTAGAAACCGGAAAATGGACGTATACAACAGTGATTATTTGTACATATCAAATTAAATATGTACATTATATAATAAGATAAAAAATTCATTATTTTAGTTTTGTCATCGACTCGTGATTCCCCCCAAGAGACATTTAATTAATGATTTTAGTAATTTGTTTATTAACGACCTTGCCTTAATATTCTGGATTAGATAACTAATTGAGAAGCATGTTAGGTGAATCACTTGGTCGTTAAAATTCATCGAAAAGTACGCCACGATTAGCTGATGAAATATGCAATGAGTAGTAAACGTTCAACACATTAATAATTTGTATGCAGGCTAAATTGAAGTAGTTCCGTGCTTGGTAATGAATTAATATTAATGTACCATGAGAGACGTGACGTATGTTATGCTAAATATGCATTTGTTTATTAAAAAATACAGTTTGAAATGTAGCAGCAGGATGAAATGCATTTTAGTTCCGATACGATAGCTATCATTTGACGTTTTGGAGTAAAGTATCCGCAAATACTCATTATGGCAAATATGAATAATATATATTATAATACCAAGTGACGGGATGAACAAGTCATGCACCTGGTGGTGGATGGTACATAACACTCGAGAGCTTAGGGTTACCTACTGCCACAGCGTCTGTCACCCTGTCACCGTACGAAACAAGTTGACAAGTCCCGCATGTGTCTGTAATTTCACCAGCACCCGTACCCTCTTACCCTCTTTACTGTTTGGCGGCAGAAATGGAGTGGCAGTACTTCCCTGGACGAACTCTTTCACAAGATCCTCTACTGTTACTAAATTAGTCCTGGCACCTTACGTTCATACAGATGAAACATTCGTAGTGATGGCGTTGTGTATCATGGTTATTCAACTGCCAATTAAAGCAACAATGAACTCATTACTTAATAATCCAGTGAAGTATTGCCACCTTACCTAATTCTGCCGCCAAGCAGTAATGTGAGCATTACTGTGTTCCGATTTTGAAGGGTAAGGTTGCTGGCGAAATTACAAGCACATGAGACTTGTCAACTTATGTCTCAGGGTGACGGGCGCAGTGGCAGTGCCCCTCCGATCTTTGCGATTTAAAGTACTGAGCGACACTGCAACTGTTATGGACAGGCGTGTAGCTTATCATCAGGCGCACGACTTGTTCGCCCCGTCACTAGAAATTATAAAAAAAAGTATTAATCAATTTTATTTTATTAAGTGCCTCCGTTCCTGAACGTCTACAATGCTACTCTGCCACGTAGATTTCTGGGTCAGGAGAAATATTTGTATGGTCTACATTTATTTTTCTCGTGAGTTTGGGTGTAATTTGTGATTGTCTAAGCGTGTGTCCATGGCACCCGCGATACAGGGTTTCCCTAACGGGGCTATGGGGTGTGTATGTTACAAAAACTATAATACATATACAACAATAATACAAGATGACAGTTTTCTAATACATATATAATCTTCATTTATTAAAAAAATTGTTGCGGGGAGGCATAATTATCTGTTCAATTTATACTGCAACTTCTTTCAATGTCAGAGTTTCAATATTACGAATTTAATTAATTTCTTTTTTTATGCAAAATAGACTCACGCTTGGTCAGAAACTCATCTGGCAATGTTACGCTTTTTTCTGAATATTGACATATCATTCTTGCCTAGAAGAGTCCTTTATTGTAGCTTCCGGATAACAGAGATGGCAGTGTTTTTTTTAATAAATAATAGACACACGCTTGGCCACGATCTCTGTGACTGACGATGGTAGGCGTTTGTCTAAAAAATGTCTATTCACTCTAGCCTTGAATAGCCCCAAATTGTACTTTTCGGGAAACACATTTGGGCAGTGTATTCCATTCCTTTGCCGTACGCATTACAAAGAAGGAAACAAAGCGCTTAGTGCGAATGGGTATATCAACGACATAAAGATGGATGGTATTTCATTCCTTTGCTCAGAAAAGGTGAATGTGTCGTATTTTAATGATTCAAAAATGGAATGACATTTTTCATAAAAAAAAATGTTCGGTACTTTCTAGTAGACCGAAGAAGAAACGGTAAGCCTCAACTCACACTGTTTTTCAACTACAACGCATGGCGACGCGCGACGTCGCACGATCACGCTTACATTAGCGTGCTCGGATCACAGTGTGGTCGGCGTCTGACGCGTCACTAACGGACGGCGACGTGCGAAACCGTTCGGCTTTATCCAAGCGTCCACGCGCGATTCCATATTTGCATAACACAAATTTGTACCTTAACAATGGGAAAATAGACGAAAGACGCTTCGACTCCGTGCCCGTGTGAGTTAAGCCTAATGGTGGAACTAAATTGAAAAGTTTCTGCGCACAAACTCCAAGATATAGTACCTGTGCTAATTAGTCTTTTTGCTTTTTGTTCTACCGAAAATAAGGCAGCTAACTGGTTTCAGGCAGAGCCGATCTGTGTGCTACGAGTATGTTGTCAAAGTACTCCATACATGAGCAGCTTTGTGTTTGAAAAAGACTCTGAAAAAAGATGCCGAAATAGTTTTTTCTTACATTTATGAATATTTTTTTAGATGTCGAGTGCCTGGCTGTGAAAATGATCACCCGACTGTACAAGTTCCTTCGTGGTGGCCTCAAGGAACAGACCCTAAATGCTTCAAACCAGTATTGGATCTTAACAAGTACAACATTAACAATCATACGTGCTCAAATTCGTCATTCGTTGAAATAATTGAAGAATGCCACGATTGGATTTATGAGAGTAACAACTCTATAGTTGCTGAGGTAGGTTTACATAGTTACTTTTGATTTTTGCTCGTTTTAATTTTTTGACTACGTACACTTAGGCTGCTGACAATCGGACTGCCTCCGCAGTTGATGCGTGCAGGCGTGATCAACAGCATGCATTATGCAGCCAAGACGTCGACTGCGTTGACAATCTTAGAAGAACATGACGTGCTATTTTGTGTGTGAAATAACTTAATCTTTAGTAACGGCAAAAAGTAACGTTTACCTGAGGGTTTAACCAACTTAATGGTAAAACAAAAATACTATTACTGTCACTTTACTCGACAGATTTATATTATTTGCACAATTCTTAAAATATATTATATTTTTACTTATTATAGTTTTGATCGATAATTCCACCTCAGACGGACATGAATTTGTTGACAAATTCAAATTGATTATTTCGAAAGTGATACGTTTATTTCATAATGAAATAAAGTCAGTGTTTGAAATCATACGATTTTCTGAATACAGTTATAAACTGTAAGTAACATCTTTCATTTCGACAATTGCTTGGAGTCAGTGTCGACCGCTCATGTTGTACATATCGATTTTGGCGCTTGCAGATTGTTCAGTAGCAGCCTCATTATCTTTGATTGTGATTTGTGACCCAGTGGTGGTAGCTGATGGGGGAAATGTTGATTTTTAATTCGGAGAACGACGGTTGAATTCCCTGTAGAAGCACGTACCTTTTATTAGCAATAACTTTCGCTAACGGTGAGGAAAACATTATGATGACAACAGTATGTCGAAGAAGGAATTTTTGGTTTTTACGTGGAAAAAACAAATACAGGCTCGATTTAAATCCGGAAAAACAGTTTCATATCCTTTGTGTAACAATTGCAAAAACCTATGAACTCGATAGGTATTTTTAGCTTGAATCAGTAGTTGTAGCACAAACTAAAGATGTTTAAGAACATTTTTTTTTTATAATATCAAGTGACGAAACGAATAAGTCGTGTGCCTAATAGTAAAGAACACAACTGTCCGTAACAGTTCCAGTACCACTTAGAGCTTTAAATCGCAAAGATCTGGAGGGCAATGCCACTGCGCCCGTCAGCCTGAGACATAAGTTGACAAGTCCCATGTGCCTATAATTTCACCAGAACCCTTACCTTTCAAATTCGGAACGCAGTAAAGCTAAAAATAGTTACGGACCGTTGAACGGTAGAATTTTTCAACCTAAAAGTTGTACCTAGGAGACGCTATCTACAAATTTAAATATGCGCTTTATAAATATGTCCAAGAATAAATTTTAATGTGCTGTTCTATTTTTGTACTAAAAAACATCAAACGTTATTAGATAAAGTACCGTTTTTATTGTACTAATTAAGAACATAATGAAGATAGCTCCAATTACTGGTAAAGATAACATTAATTATAAATTACCTATATCTCATAATGAAGCTGTAAAACCACTGGGTAGCATATTTACTCGCATTAAAATGCAATTTGTTTGAAGAATATCTTGTTCGTTTTGATAAACAATTAATGTGCATTGTACAAGGTCGTACGTAGAATGGTTCCTTATTTTTTCGTAAATATCCACAACGCGTGTAGGTTGGGCACCTAAAGTTTTTTTTTCCTTGAAAAAAGTCAAATAGGTACGCTAATTTGAATAAAAATGAAACTAGATAACGTACTAGATAAGTCGTTTGTGGAACGATTTACCTTCGTTTATTCAACAAGCGAAATCATTGAATATATTTAAAAATATGGTAAAAGAACACTACCTAACTTTAGCTGACTTGGACTGCTTAGGTATTTTTATGTTATGAAATTATGTTTTAGAAATTTTATATTGATAGGTATAAGAATGTATAGTAGTTTACGATATTCATATATATGTATTGATTTTATTATTTATTTATAAATATATGTATATTTGAATTTATTTATCAATTTTTATCTATTCATGAGTAATTCTTCATACACCACCGTCTTTTACCTGTGAATTATATAGTTACTTCCATCCAAAGGTTGTCTGGCAGAAATCGCTTAAAGCGATAAGACCGCCCATTGTACCACCGCTTATTTTTAATTTAATTGTATTGTATTTGTTTCCTTTTTTGGTGTACAATAAAGAATTCTTGTATTGTATTGTACTGTAGATAAGATATGCAAAAAAAACCCGTATAGGATGTAACGACTGGTGTGGTGTAGGACTGTATCAATATAAATTCGCTCGCGTATAAATTCATTCGCGTAATAAATTCGCAAATTTTACTGTCCTATATTTTGTGACGGTAACCCAAATAGTCTAGCTAATGATCCCAATGCAGCGTAAAAAGTCCTGATTGCTATAGTTTTAGCATAAAAATAATTGTGGCCGCCTGCCTGACGTCAACCCCCCTTGGGAATACTGTTTAAAGTGTGGCTAGAGCCCCTTTCGCTATGTGCAGGGTGCACCGCGTGCAGGCGAAGTTGGTATGTGGCCTTGGTAACTGGAATACTTAGAATTTATAGTCTTATTTCACCCTAGATCGTGTTTGCTGGTCTGATCAGCTGCCATTCCAAAGTAGATATGACGTTGGGTTTTAAAGCCAGCTGCAGCACTCTTCAGTGACTGCACGCACCATATAATATTTTCACTTAAAAGCGATACTTACAAAAATAATTCATAAAATACATTAAACAGTGCACGTTATTACAAGATTATATCTTGCGATTTTTTATGAACTGTCACAGGGATCATCCTAGAGAACAATTGTAGTTAGTTCAGAACCAGTAACATTATTAATATTGACCTTGACTGTACTAAACCGATCAGTAGGTCCAATGCCCATACAATGCTGCCCGTAGTCCAACTAGTTGGACCAAGGGCAAAGTTTTTAGCCCCTGGTTCAACTAGTTGGACTACGCAGTTGGACCACGGGCAATTGATAAACGGAGTGAGCAAGACCAAAGCAAATGTACTTAAAACACGTACAGCTATCAAAGCAAAATTTACAAACAACAGCCAAGAAAAGGCGCCAAAAACAATCATATTTAAATTTAGAATTTAAATATAAAACTAAAACTTAAAGAGACTATAAAATATATATTTATACAAAAGAGATTTGTAGCGACTGCTGCGATTCGCTACATTAGGGGTTGTAGATCAATTCTCTCAATTTAGCTAATAATGTCGATTACGTTAGTTATGATAAGGATGGCAGAATGTGCCAAAGAATCAAAACAAATACCTGATCATCTCAAACGAACTAGATTATATTAAATCCGAAGACAATCCGGACGAAACTAAATACAAAAGTTATTTTCCTATTTTGGTCCTTCCGGGAATTGAACCCGGGTCCATCTCAGCAAGCGCCCATAGTACTAACCATTGGGCCACAGGGGTCATTGTTCTTTTAATTAGAAAAACCTAGACTGACCCAGACCATGAGGATATGTGAAGCATTACTTTTTTGAACAACCAATTTGACGATGGAGGCATTTCTTCGATAAGCACCCACTTTCTATCTCTATAGGCACTAATAGCATCCACGGTATTACCTACGCATTACGATTTTCTAAAAGGCGTTCCTTAAGTTTGTCAATGGCGTAAAGTGGCTTTAGCATTCATTGTTTATTTATTACCTTCAATTTCAGCTAAATCTCGGATGTCAGTCTTGGAAGGCAACATTGGTGGGTAGTATTCACAATGCTGGTATGATCGCCTCCATGATGTTCGCCGGCTGGATTTCTGACAAGTGAGTTTACCTATTTCTGCCACCAAGTAGTAATGTGAGCATTATAGCTTTTCGGTAGTAACTTATTTAACTGCCTCTGTGGGCAAACGGTGACCTTCCTGGTCTGCTTCGCAAAGGTTCCGGGTTCGATTACTACATACCTGCATTTATTTCCCTGGTGCGAGGCTATGAGTGTGTGTGTTATTATTATTATTACTGCGTTCCGGTTTAGTAGGGTGCTGGTGAAATTACAGGGACATATCAACTTATGTCTCAGGGTGACGGGCTCAGTGGCAGTGTCCTTCAGATCATTGAGATATAAAATTATGAGTGGCACTGCAACTGTTATGGACAGGCGTGTCGCTTACCAGCAATAATTTCAAGCGAGATCAGTCTTCACATCAGTTTTGACATCACTACTACGTACTACGTGATTATGTTATGGCAATAGTGTTCTTCTTTTCGGTTATCAATCAGACTAAAGTGGCGCTATGATGTCGCACGTCATGACGCGAAACATTTCCGTTTTAGAGCTGATTCACGTGTAATAAAAATAATTCATAAATGAATCAACCACATTCTAATGAATCGTTAATGTGAAATACCTTATTCACTTTATACCTACATATGGTTTTCGTGCCTGGTACCGCACGTGCCCAGTTTAACGAGTCTTTAATGTCTTTAAGTATCTATGTATGAAAGTTATAATAACGTAGGTTAATGTTTTACGGATTTTAACATAATGTATTTATTTGTTTCAGGATAGGAAGGAAGCCAACAATAATTATTTGCTCGGTCGGAGGTGCGATTGGTGTAGTGAAAATATTCATCACAAATTATTACGCATATTTAGGAGTAGAATTTTTAGAATCTCTTCTTGCGTCTGGCCTTTACACAGTCGCCGTAGTTTTACGTAAGTTTTAACAGTTTAATTTTGCGTATACATATATCAATCAAATTCAAAATCAAAATCAAATGCAAAATCAAAGATCATAGTGAACAGCTATAAAGAGGTCAAAGAACTGGCTATGAACTGTGAGGAGTGGAGAAGGCTACACCGACAAGAGTCGGGCTCTTAAATAAGATGATGATGTATCAATCATTAATTATCAAATTTCTGACTGCAAAATACATTTCCCAAAAGAATTAGTACCATTTCCGGCGACAATAAATTTTCATCTTATTTGTTGTTACTTAATAATGTCTAGTTATGTTATAAATTTTTACCGGTCAAATAGATCTCATACAATGACATTGATTGTTTTGTTGTAGACCTTTGTTCAGAATTGTAGTAATTATGTTCCGACAGAAAACACTGGCGGAGACTGAAAAACAGCACTATGCTGACGCTTCGTCCTTTACATCAACATAATACTAGAAATAAAAATCAGAGTTACGTGTATTATGTGATTTTCTATATACGTAGGTATAACGTTGGCAAAATTTGACCATCTCGTAACTCCGTTTTGTACGGTATCCCTTATTTAATCCTCAAGCGCAATATCGGGAAATTAAAGGTTAAAATATAATTTAATAAATATAATTTGGGAAATTAAAGGTTAAAATATAATTTAATGAAAATAATTTGTAAATTGGATTTTATTTAATTTTATTTTATTTACAGTGATAGAACTTGGAGGAGAAGCTAAAAGAGTGAGCGCAGGTGTAATTTTTTCTTATGCAGTTTACGTCGGTGAGGTCACGTTTGCGTTCATTGCCATGGGTTTGAAATACTGGAAATTCCTGATATTAGTAGTCTACACCCCAATGGCCTTATTCGTCTTCTATATTTTGTGCTTGAAAGAGAGCACAAGATGGCAAATGTTAAGAGGCAGAACGCAACAAGCCAAAGACACGTTTAAATGTATTGCAAAACTAAATAAACTAGAAGTTACACCTAAAGAAATTGAAGACTTGAGTGAAGAAGAGCTCAGATTTAAACTGAATGTTCAAATACAGAAAGAGAAGGAGACTATTAAAGATATACTGGGTTCCAAAGAGATAATGGTCCGCCTCGCAGTGACGTCATTCTGTTTCTTTACATCCAGTTTCCTTTATTATGGCTCGATGGTGCATTCAGTGCTTTTACCAGGAAATAAGTACACAAACTTCGTGTTAGCGTCAGTAACCTCATTCCCTGGAGATTTGTTAGCGTTTTACACATTCAACAAATTTGGACGAAGGATCACATTGCAGTGGGGTTATTTCGGAAGTGCTGTATTTCTAATTGCCCAGACTTATGCACCTGCTTGTAAGTACAAACAATAGATATTAAATTTTCAAAGAATGTTTACTTGACATTAGCTAATGGGCAAATTCTCGTTTTTCATTTCTCTCAAATGCGTTTGAATATGTATAATTGTGATTATAAATGTAAGACTACAACTGTAATTGAAATTAGTCCGTAAATTTTCCTAAAATGTAAATAGTTAAATAAAAAAAATCGATAAGATATAAGGTTTCTAATGCTATAAACTATTTTATATTGGTTAAAAGCGACGCATGACTATAATAATTGAGAAATTCCTGTATCGGTGCTAATTTCAAGCTCAAATGTTGACATGTTTGGAACTACGAAGTATTTTTGATGTCTATAAATGGTCTATAATCATTAATCACAAATATTAAGTGTACCTACGTTATGAATAGGACCCCGTATTTTTGCGTGTTTGTCGTATAAAACTACTAATGGTTGACGATTTACCGTTGCGACAAGCTGCAGGCGGCAGCGACAAGCGCTACACTTCTATTATACTATAAAAAGCCTTCCTACCCTCATCATGTTACATCGTTTATTTTTTTTTCACAGCAATAACATGGCTAAAAGTTCTACTGTTCCTGTTTAGCAAGCTGGGAGTCGTGGTGTGCTTCACAGGCATCTACACGTACAGTTTGGAACTGTTTCCAACCAGTGTCCGAGGTTCTTTAGTCGGATGCGGTAATACAGCGGCTAGAATCGGCAGTATGCTTGCACCTCTCACTCCTTTACTGGTAAGATTTTGTATTCTTTTTATTTGTCTGTACAGGTTTATTGTCTGCTTCTAGAGTCTACTTTTTAATAAGAAAACGTATAGGTATATACTTTCTTTTATTAAACGGGATGCAGTAGCGATGCAAGCGACTGCATCGATACAAACGCGCGATCGCATCGCTACATTTGGGATTTAAGGCGATTGCATCGATGCAGTCGCGCGTTTGCATCGATGCAATCGCCTATAATTCGGAAGTGTAGCGATGCAGTCGCGCGTTTGCATCGCTGCTAAAAGTCGGCGTGTGTAACCACTCTTACTTTGACCGAAAACTATTTACTAAATTTAATGAATTTTAGGAATTTTGGCATTGATGGATTTCTTGTAAACTTAATATTTTTTTCATTTTGTCCACTTGCAGGTTACACATCTAGACTCACTGCCGTCTATACTGTTTTCATCAACAGCGATAGCAGCAGCAGTGTTGCTTACGTTTACACCAGAAACAAAGACGTTGCCATTGTTCGATACAATTGCACAAATAGAAGCTTACAGGTCGAAAGTGTCGACACATTTATAATAATGTATCAATTCTAAAGTGTCAAAGTTTCCAATTTATATACTTTAATGAATGACCGTGCGCACCTGTGGTGAGCTCTCACTTAAATTACAAACTGTCGAAATAGACTCCTTTTTTTATGCATGCAGAATGCATAATAAAGAAAGTTCATGTAATTTTTTGAAGACGTGTGAAACTAGACGGGTCAGCATGACTGACTGTGATTTGAAACTTTGAAACCTGATAAATAATATTTACAATTAATCAAGAAACTAAACAATCTGACAAAGCCGTGAATTTAAATAAAAATACTATACAGTACTGTATTTATGATAGTTTCTATAACCTGACCTGTGGCTTAGTGCACAGAGTCATGGTCAAGCTTGATACCTAAGATTTAAAAGTCTATGCAGCTTACAATAAGAACAGACCAATATCGAAAGTGTCAGACTTGATCAGCTCTTGACTGTATCTATCTATGAAAAATTTAAATTCAGTTTACGTTCGTGTAATTATAATTATTATTAGAATGTAAATAAAAGTATTTTGTACTATGATGCTATGAATGTTTATATGAATGTTTGTACTATGATATATACTTTTAAATTGTAATCCGCTAGATAACGTAACTAAAAGTGATATGCAAAAAGTATTACGATTGTATAAATACAATGTATTACGTGAACTTACTTATCTTGTTTGATTTTTTAACATTAATTTCTTCAACATGAAGTTGTAAATAATTTTTTAATACAGTTGCTCAAAACGTGGTATTTCTCGTACTCCAAATCGTGCCGAAAGTTGGATTTATCGCAATAGTGCTTTTTACTATTCCATTTTTTTAAATTTACTGTTGTTTCAAGTCTTAAACATGGAACTAAAGAGGTTGTATATTTATTTACTATTTATGTGCTTTGTGACGTAAGTCATTCGTCATTAAGTAATTTAAGTTTAAATTGCAAAGGTGTTTTATAAAACAACGGGTTAAATTTAAAAATACTAAAATATTTTCCGTAACGATGTCTGATTTAGTACGACTGGAGGTGAGTATTATGTGAGAACGCTGCGCGCCGCGCTACTAACATAGTAATTTTAATGTGGCTGAATACTGGCAACAGTTGTCATTGTACTTTGAAATTTTATTAGAGTTTTTTTTATATACTGTTTTATTTTACTTTCAATGTAGTTTTTTCGCAAATGTATTAAAAAACGACTTTTGATACACGTGCGGATTTGTCATTTTCATTTGTCTCGAGTTTTGACCCTCGCCTTTGGCTCGGGCCTCGTGAAGCCTCGAGGCTCGTGAATAATGACAACTTACCGCACTTGTATCAAAAATAACTATTATTTTATTTTGATATCTATCTAATATATCAGCCCAAATAACTAATTTCGGAACTGCGCATGTTTGCAATGTTTACTTGCTAAACCATAAATACGATGATCATGATGGAACGCATTATAGTGTAAGCCATCGATACGATAGATGAAGATTACAATAGTGGTCAGAAAGAATTTTTTATACTCCATGTAGATAAATGTTTACTAAAAAAGCACTTCTTGTAAATTCTGTGCTAAGTGTTTTTTTTCATAATACTCAGTGACGGCACACCCCTGTCATTCCATATAACGGTCGAAAGTTTTTTCCTACTACTACCTAAGACTACTACTACATACAGCTAGGCGGTATCTGCACACGCGAAAATGTGCACACATTTTCGTGTTAGATGTTAGATGATGAAAAACAGCCCTACACAGCACAATTCACAGTCGTGAAGTCGTCGTTACTTATAGTCATAAGTAACGTACAATGATGTTATATATTAACGTACATGTTTCGTAATGCATAAATGAAAACTATATTCAAATGTCAAAGCCGTCGCCGCCGTCGCCGTCGTAGCGAAAAAACTGCTCGCTGACAGCCTTGTTGTCATTCAATGCGACCGTCAATGCTTAGACTATTCCATCCTCTAAGCGTCAATGGTGCGGAATTTAAATTTTTTTTTTAATTATTAAGGCTTTGGCAAAGCCATCAGCCTAAACATGAAGTTTAATTGTTTCTGTACATATGCCCGCTACAAAGAGGACAGGCAATTTGAGGCGGCGTGCTTGGATTGACTCGGGATTCCTTAGAACGGGCCGATACGGGTATTTTAGTTAGAGATTCGTATAATTTCGCGTTTTAATCTTCGATTAAGGTACAATAGCACTATCCTATTCCACTTTAAACTAGATATCACAAAATAATTGAAAGTCAAAATAAAAAAACGACACTTTCCCCTCCAAAATGCCCAGAGCGAATCCGGAATTTAAATCTAGAAAGAGGCGAAGAGTGTCTATTATCGTTAGTCTTTTGTTCTCTGGTGACAGGAAGAATACGTCGTGTGCCTGGTGGTAACCGTCCCTAACACTTGTACTGCCGCTCAGAGCTTTAAACCACAAAGATCTGAGGGGTACTGCTGCTGCACCCGACACCCTGATACATAAGTTGACAAGTCCCCTGTGCCTGTAATTTCACCAAAAGTGTATCTCGATGGTCAAATTGAAAGTTACTGCGTACTTATCGGTATAAACAATTTGTACAATATTAAGTATACCCAATATTGTACAAAATGTGCAACGTATGTAGGTACTCTAGCAGTGTCAATCTGATGCGTGCAGACGTGCAGAGATCGAGTGTACGCTTCCATAAAATTTTACGTATTTCTACAAATACGCCTCTACAAGAGTATGTTGTTCACATAAGACGATGATAATTTCCAGAAATAAAATAAAAAAGAAATGAAAAATATTTTGATGTTAAGCGACGATGTGACCGACGATGGGACGCGTTTGCCTAAAAAATGCCTATTCACTCTAGCCTTGAATAGCCCCAAATTGTACTTTTCGGGAAATACAGATGCCGGTAGAGCATTCCATTCCTTTGCCGTACGCATCAGAAAGGAGGAGGCAAAGCGCTTAGTGCGAATAGGTGGAATATCAACGACATAAGAATGGAGTGCTCCGGACCTTCTAGTCGACCGAATCATAAATAATACAAAATATAAAAAATAGAAAATGAAAAAAGAACTGTCTCACTTTGTTATCTAAGTATTGGGTGCGGTCAAGAGCATTATCATTCTTGCCTCTTTTCGATTTTGATAATTTAAGCGGCAAATTGAGAGTTGAATTTATGAGTCGACACACAAAACGCGACGACGCCCGCCGCATCGCAGAAATCTATGAGCTCGCACGACGCATCGCAAGAATTTGCCATTTGCAACGCATCGCGCATTCCTGCGTTGTTTAAAAAATACGTTCAGTACGGTTGACGATGGTCGAAGCAATGATCACCCGAACCGTGGCAGTGCAGTCAGACGCTTTGCCGCGAAATCGCGTCGCAGCAACTCGCGTCGTAGTTTTCTGCTTTGCAAATTTGTGTTTCGACCTTCGAGCTTGTGCTATATTTGCGTGCACTCACTACTACTACTCCGCGCTGGTTCAGCGATCCAACAAGTGTCTGTCATAATGTTCCGAAACGAGATGATGTCACTTTCTTCTGCGATTGATCGCACAGGTCAATCAATCAAAAAACCAAAAAACAAATAAAAAAACAATCGCCAATTGATGCCTTGTAGACTTTTGACCCCACAATTTGACTTCACAATTAGGATTACAAGTAACAAATACAGTTTAGTCTGTTTACTCTGTTTTGTAATGCATTCAATATTCTTGAGAAAAAGAATATAAGAAGGTCAGAAATTTATAGAACTATTTAACGAAACTGGGATTGAACCGGGGACCTTTATATCTTCCGTCATTAATATTTTTCCTTAATGACGGCCACTAGGTTTGGGCCATTGTTTCGATGTATAAAAACCAGAACGCACTAATGTGCGCATCTCCAGCTTCATGGCAGAGATAGGTAAAGTGGCAGTACTGCCTTGGATGAACTCTTGCGCAAGGAGTTCTACTGCTACTAAAATTTCTTTAATAGCTGTAAATATTAGGGGTTAAAGTATGAAATTGCCGTTTTATTGCAATAGG